GGCCATGCCTATACTATACCTAGGTACGGGTGGTCCGTGAATCCGTACGTTCTTGAGTCCTGGGATCTGTAGGTGGAGAAAAATCCTATTCTCTTCGCAAAGACCTCGTAAACTTCTCCACTTCCCTCGTTCCAGCGTTTGGGTAGCGGGAGCGACCGCTTGGATCTACCCATGAATCATGACCCGGCAAACTGCATTGCAGACTGTCACTGCTGACGCAGTTTCTTCCGGTAATAGTGGATCGAGTAATAGTACATCGAACTGTAACTTAGCAACTAGATGCTATTTGCCATTAGCAGAGATTGTCAATCTCCGACACTCTCGTTGCCTTTAATCGGTCTGCAACTGGGAGTGGGATGATCGAGCTTGTGGCAGCACGACACTTCTTTAAGCGGGTGCCTTAATCCAAACGAATTCATAGTATGGATGGAGACGAATGTTGGCCTTCCCGAGGCGGTCCTCCATTGTCTGCTCCGGCTTATGGTTTTTTCGGCTTGCAGCAATCCCCGCCAATTTTATCCACGCCATGATCAGTCAGCTTCTGTAGGCCCTCTTCCTGTTTTTGTTCCTCTACAGGTTCGACTTTCTCCTTTTCGGCCTTGATTTCACCGTGCTCAGCAGCCAACTCGTCGCATAACCGGGCCATCAAAAGATCCTGCCCCGACAGACTCGGCGGGACATGCGTCGTCCACCTCACATGGACACTATTGTACACATTCGTCCACTCGGGATGATGCTTCTCCTTCTTACACACTTCGGCCACGGCATTCATAAAATTCCATGCCGCCTTGAAGGTCTTGAAGCGAAAGGTGCGCTCGACTCCGTTGCCGTTCGATAGGAGCGTCCAACCGCCGCCTTGTGGCGGGTCCACGAGAGCCGTTAGTTGGTTCATGATACCCGGGATCGTATCGACGGAGTAGGTGGAGAAATTGGGAACAGGCATCGCTTTGGAGCTTTTGTGGCGGCGCTGAGCTGGTCGAGATGGTGTCGGTTGCCGAAACACGACCGGAGCGGCGGGAGTGCGAATCGATGGGAGGGAAAGACAGCGAGTCAATGTCGATGAAGATGGCGATATTGGGAGACGTGAAGTGGTGACTCTCATGGTGGCGGGTAGGTGTTCAGAGAGCTTGAAGAAGCTTTGAGCTTCCAATTCGAGTTCCTGCACCGCTCAAACTGTCGGCCCGACCCATTGGTGTCTCGTCCATCTCGACCCCGAGAAAGGTCTCCCATCTTGCACGACTTCGACCACAACAAGCTGTTTGTTACGATGAAAAGGTCATGTTCAAATGTCGATATGCATGTCTACAGTTCAATAAATATGCTTCTCCAAGATCATGGCTTCATATCCTTCCAGTCAAAAGCCCTTTCCCACGCATGGCCTGCTCTCAAGACCTTACCGTCATTCCACAGCCCACTGACAATCTGCATGCCCACCGGCAACAGCACTTTTTCGTCTTCCTTCGCTGGTAGCCAGCCTACCGGTAAGCTCATTGCCGGCTGACCCGTCGCGTCAAACATGGTCGTATTGCTCGTCAATCCAATCGTCGGCTTGATCGTCTCCAGAGGCGTCGTCCAGGTTCCATGCTTTGGCGCGACGAAGCTCGTCGTGGGCAGGATGATCACGTCGTATCCGCCCAAATCCGGCTTGAGAGCTTTCTCGTAGCTGTCCCGCAGTCGGCGCGATAGGTTCATCGCCTTGCTGTAAAGGGCTGGGAACCGGTCCATGAGGTAGAGACCGTTGAGGAAGATGTTCTTTGTGGTGGGAAAGCACTTGTCAAACTTCTCTTGCGTCCAAGGGAGCTTCTCCTTTTCCAGACCTGTGAGGCCCATGCCGCGGCGTCCAGCTGCCCGGCCCATCATCGACAGACAGCCGCTCACGCGTTGCTCGACGGTCCAGATGGCAGTTCCAAGCAGATGGTCTGGAATCGACACTTCTTCCACTATTGCACCCAGCTCGGCAAACTTTTGCGCCGCGGAAATCACAGTAGATCGCATCTTCGGGTCGACAATGGCTTGCTCGAAAGCCTCTTTCAATATGCCGACCCTGAAGCCAGTCAAGTCCGACGTCTCAGAGGCAGCCAAATCGACAGAGAATGTCGTACTGCCGTGTTTCGGGGCCCCGAGGGATCGGTCGTCAATGCCATCATACCCGGAGATGGCGTCAAGGCAGAGTGCAACATCCATGACCGTACGAGCGAGTGGACCGGCGTGGTCGTTGACAGCATCGTTGGACGCGATACCGGTGTATGGTATCAACCCATGAGTAGGTTTGAGTCCAACGCAGCCGCACAAGGCAGCCGGAACTCTGATGCTCCCGCCTTGATCTGCGCCTATCGCAACGTCCACATACCCACCGGCCACGAGAGCGGCAGCGCCTGACGTACTGCCACCTGCTGAGTAGCCAGTGGCGAATGGATTTTCGACAGTACCATGGCTGCTGGAAAAACTTGATGTTGACTGACACCAGTTCTCACAATTTGCTGTGCCGACAATCTCGGCGCCTGCCTCCAGAGCCCAAGTCACAACGGTAGCATCGGATTTCGGTGTCCATGGGTTGATGACATTGGTCCCAAGCATTTGCGGCACGTCGGCGACTGTGATGCAGTCTTTCAAGCAGACTGTCTTCCCAGCAAGAGGACCTTTTGGTGCGGCATCTTTGATCGAGAAGGTATGTGCCCAAGCTGCTCCAAGGACCTGTTCTGAAGAGGACGGACGGCGGACATTGTTGCGAGGGAAACGAGCCAGATCAACTGGAGGCTCGTAGTCGGGCAAATTATCGACGAGTTCTGCGCAGTCGTGCAATCCAGCGAGAAGCTTGAAATAGTCCTCCTCTTCCTCTGGCTTCACCTCTACGCCAAGCTTGCCGAATGATGAACGAACGTCCTCTACTGTCACCGGATTCCCACTGCAGAATGTCAATTGATGTCCCGAAGTTTCAGAGCGATGTCATGCATACTCTGAGACGGAGGTAAAGAGTACCGACATGATCGACGGTTGAAGTTTAACTTAGTGTCGGTTGAAGTTTAACGTTAACTTAGACACAAAGTTGGCAACTCAAATGCATCTCCCAAAACATCTCGACACGTTCCCTCTATTATCAGACGATACTTTGTCCACAAAGTAATCAATCAACTCCGCCCTCGGCCTCTTTGAGACAATCAAAGCCCTCGTGTCGAGGTTTCTTATCGCATTCCCCGCCGAAGATCCAGCCCATCCCCACGCCGAAAACACCGGCCATCCTGCCGTCGGCTACACTCTACTATCACCGAAGACACCCCTGATGACCACACCGTGTGGAGAGTTCACATCAATGGACAACACCATGCAATTTGCCCTATCTTCGACCTGGACAATTAGTAGGCCCGCGGCCAATCTCATGCCGTCACGCTGATTGATAGCCACCGACGTCGGCATCCGTCGATACATCGGCTGTAAGGCTTCATTATGGCCATGATGGCTGAGGAGCTCTTCTATCTGCCTCATAAGTTCCGTCTTCTTCGCTGTCCTTGATACCCGTCCCTAGAATTGTATTTTCAGAATCGCATTCAAACATGTCAACTCCTTATTCCTTCGCTGAAGACCCCTCGAAGGTCGCGCCCTTCAAATGGGATGACCACTACGATTTCCCTCGCGACCTCGTAGGATATGGTGAAAAGTCCTTCAACCCTCAATGGCCGAACAACGCAAAGATAGCTGTTTCGTTCGTCATCAACTACGAGGAAGGCGCTGAGCACTGCGTTCTGAATGGTGATGTGCATTCTGAGACCCATCTGTGGGAAGCGCCTGGTGGCACGCCAAAGGTCCAAGAGCGCGCAGTCAACATCGAGTCTGAATACAACTACGGCTCAAGAGCGGGTGTGTGGAGATTGTTCAGGCTATTCAACAAGTTTGGGTACAAATACACGCTCTACGCGGTGGGCAAGGCGCTCGAAGAGAACCCAGCCGTTGCGAAAAGCAGTGTGGAAAACGGACATGACATCGCCAGCCATGCATACCGGTATATCTCGATGCACAGTCAACATTTGCCCATCTCGCTAACAGCCTCTCAGCTGGATAGACTACCACTCCATGTCCCCCGAAGAGGAGAAAGTCTACATCCGTAAAGGCATCGAAACCATCCAACGCCTCTGCGGCGAAGCGCCAAAAGGCTGGTACTACGGACGCCTCTCGCCGCGCTCGCACGCCCTCGTCTGGGACGTCTACAAGGAGATGGGGCTGCCGCTGCTCTGGGAGTCCGACACCTACGCCGACGACGTGCCGTACTGGGTGGATGTGCCGGCGGAGAAGGACGAGCCGGAGCCGCAGGGCATGCTGATGGTGCCGTACTCGTACGACTGCAACGATTACAAGTTCAACGTCCCGACCGGATTCGGGGCGCCGATGGACTTTTACGACCACGTCAAGGGCGCGTTCGATGTCTTGTATGAGGAAGGATCCAAGGGCAGCCCTAAGATGAGTAAGTTCGCCTTGCGACTGAGAATCCGTGCTTTGCATGAGCTGATTTGAAAAATGTGCAGTGACTATCGGCCTGCACTGCAGATGCATCGGTAAGCCCGCGCGTTTCGCGGCGCTGAAGAAGTTTGTCGAGTACATCAGCGAGAAGGAGGGCGTGTGGGTGGCGACGAGGACGCAGATTGCGGAGCACTTCCGGGAAAAGTTTCCGTATAAGAAGGGTCAGCTGGCATAGATGGCTTAGATTAAGTAAGAATTAATAGTTCTGGGATTTTAAACCCATGTGCCAATCGTGAGCCCGGTTTTTTGCGTTCTTCGAGGAGACGTGCCGATGTTTTTTGTTGCAGAGCAGAGGCGACTGTACAATGGCTTAGTGACGCATCTTGACCAAGCGCTGCGGGTGCAGCACTGGTCTAAAAGTTCAAGAAGCGGACGAACGAATTAGTTTTCATTCTTTATGAGCGTATGCAGGGGCTCAGGCTTCAACGGTCAAAAATCTGGATTACAATAGAATATATTATGTGTTGGTGAGATTGATTCCATCGATTGGGGGTGTGGCGCAATGGTAGCGCGTCAGATTCCAGTTTATGGAATGTCCTGAAGGCTAGGCGTTCAAATCGCCTCATCCTCAACTTGAGTCTTTCATTTTGCTTTTTTGCCTGCAATTTTTGTCGGCCATCGGATGGTTTGTGTGGTGTGGGGCTCGTTGCATTTTTGACCCCCGGGCCTCTGTTGATTGGGGGCTAGCGGCTTTTGCTCGGAGAAAGAGTCTGTACGCACGCAGAACATCATCAAAACACCCAATACATTCAACGCTCGTACTTTTTCGTAGTCAAGATGATGGATGCAAAGATTCGTGGTGGATCAGGAAGGCTGAAGAATCCAGATAAATACATAGGATACTTTACATCAGATTGCGCCGGTGGAGCTTTATCTCGTCTTTTTTTCGTTCCATATACACGTCTTCCCTCTCAAGTCTATCTTCGTCCTACTACCCTATGGCACCGGTTGGAATGGAACATTCATCAGACGTCGGCCTCTTCAGCCTCTCCTCGGTCGTCTTGAAAAAGCCTGGAAGCCCGACATCTTCATACGCTGCATCCTCGGCGACCATCTTCGCGACGCCCTTCGCGCAGGCCGGGATCATGGACTGCGAACATGTCAGCACATCGTGTCTTCACTTGATTGAGATGATCCGTACCATTCCACCGCCATTGAAGCCAGCCAGGATCCATGCGTTCGACGTACCCGGTACCTTACCGACATGCGGTAGCTGATCAGGGGTAGATCCCATAACTATCCGTCCATCGTAAGCAATGATTGAAGAACGCGACAGAACAAAGACTCGAAAGAACCTACTCCCCGTCCACACCCTCTCCCTCTCACAACCACTCCCTTCCCACCCCAAAAAGTTCCTCTGCATATACCGCTCAAAGTACCGTTCCACCTCCTCACCCATCAACGTCGAATCATCAACCACCCCTCGCCACTTCCCCTTCTCGCCCCTAAATAACCAACTCGCTCCCCCTAATACGATCCGTCGCCCCTCCGGCCTCGGGTTGAAATAATCCACCTTCCCGCCTCCGTAGTCGATGTTGTACGTGCAGCTCAGATGCGGCTGGACCGGCGGCTTTGACTCCGGGATGGCGAGACTGGCGGCTGTGCCTTTGGTTGGGACGATGACGGGTTTGTAAGAGGGCAGGAGACCGCCGGTGTAGGCGTTTGTGGCATAGATTATTTTGCGGGCGAGGACGGTGCCGCGGGGAGTGTGGACATGGAAGAGGTGGCCCGAGGATGCGGGGGTGACGGCGTGGACGGGGGTGTTGGTTTGGAGGTTAGTCGTGGGGTGACGGGCGAGGATGGTGGAGAGGAGTTGGGTGCAGAATTTGTAGGGCCAGAGGGAGCAAGCGGGGACGCTGAAGGCACCAGCAGCGCCGCGGACGGAGGTTATCTGGGAGGTGTTAGAAGAGAGAGTCTTGGGTAGCGGCGAGCTTGCGGACAAGAGATTTGCAGATAATGGACAAGAAGGAAAGAGGAAGCAGTTTGAACCTACCTTTTCAGCATACCGCTCATCAATCCACGAGATATCCTTTACCCACTCACACCCATTCTTGCATTGCTGTTCAAACGCCTCGTGCGCCTTCCTCGCATCCCCCTCATCCAGAAACACATCAAAGCTCCGTCTAAGCTCAAACTCACACTCGATGCCCTCCCTCTCCACAATCCCCTTCAAATCATAGATAATCCCATGCACCAACCTGTTAAACTCATTCGTCGTCTCCTCGCCCACCCGATCGAGAAACCCAGTCAAGGTTCTTGCTTGAACTTTGCTGTGTCCGCCATTGCGACCCGTGGCGCCGGAACAAGTTGACCTGGCCTCGAGAAGGAGGATCGAGGGCGGTGTTGGTGAAGTCTGTTCGGTCAGGTGATATGCGGTGGTGACGCCAGCCATGCCGGTGCCGATGATCAGGACGTCACATTCTGCGGGAAGGTCCGGGGTTGAGCGGTGGTTGTGAAGGGGATGGGGCTCGCTGAGCCAGTGCGAGATGGTTGGGTTAGGAACGGGGAGCAAGTCATTCGAACGATTCTGGTCGGGGCTATTGGTGGCTGTTGCGGCGCTGGGGTTTGCCATGTCTTCCTTTGATGGCGGTGAAATCACCAGGCCTTTCAGGCTTTTGGCGACAGAGGTAAACATGGCCGGTTGGTCGTATGGTTCCAGGAGATATCTTTCTTGTTGATGTAGCACCACAAGGCCGAATGCCGAGTGAAGTCAGTGGTCTTTATCCACATCCGAGACCCGCGATACGGCATTGGGGGCTGAATCGAAAACACCTGCCAATCACAGATGCATTGAGATATCGAGTTCTGTCCAGTGACGGGCTTTAATCTGACCATGTATTCGATCTCCGCTGCGGACTTGAGCCTTCGGAGTAAGCACTAAGCATTTATCCAGTGGGGCTGATAGAATACCGCTGCCTTCTCTGCGCCGCGTCGTCCTGTACGAAGGTGCTGGTAGTCCGCATGACCTATTCAATCTCCGCCAAGTGGTTGTGCATCATACCCTGTCGAGGACGCGGGAACGAAGCGACGAGTGTGGGAGCTTGTATAGCTTCTACAATTGAAACCGCCTACTCATGCATGCGGTTTACCTGTTCGTCGTCCTTCGATCAACAATCTCACGCGCAGGTTCCACTGGATGTGTCGACGGGATCGGATCCAGAGCCACAGGCTCTCCCCATCCAGCAGCTTGCAACATAGCCCATCTGATACCTTCGATCCCAATCGGTCCATCAGAAGCAGACATACCGAGGGACCTCCGCGACGAGCACGCAAAGACATCTCCCGTCATCACACTCTCCTTTCCACTATCTTTTGCCCGCTTCCTAATCTCCTTCACCAGGGCCGCACTTTCCTCCTTCAAGTCACTCACCTTGGCATCCAGAGTTTCAAAAGAACTCCCATTCCCGGACCACAGTCTCTGATCAATCTTACTCAGGATGATGGAATGAGGCACGCCATTTCCCTGCAGCAGGTCCAGGACAGCCCAGTCGTGCTCTTTGATCCCATGCTCCAGCTGCAGCAGCAGATACGTCATACGCAGGTTCTTCCGCCTCGTCAAGTACTTCATCATTGCCACCCCCTGCTCCGCCGCACTTCCAAATCCGAACCCAGGCGTGTCAACCAGGATGATCTGGGCCCCTCTTTCCGCTTTACCGACCCACCGCTCTGGCGACTTGCTGTGATGGTTCATCCCACTTTGCCCATTCTTCTTCCTACCTGCCACTGACCATCCTCCACTTGCCCGAGGTCCGACGGCATAACATTGAAGATACTTGGTCTTCCCAGCCTTCTTCGACGTGTGCGCAGCGCCGCTTTGCCCGTCTGAGGCGCCCGTAAGCGCGTTTATGAAGGAGCTCTTGCCGCAGTTGCTTCGGCCTAGGATAGCGATCTCGGGGACTTGATGGCGGGGGAACTCGAAGAACTTTTCGCAGTGGAAGAGCAGGAGCTGCTTCTTGCTGGTGAAGAATTTGCGTGATTCGGATAGGTCTTCGGGGGTGGGTGGCGTGGTGGTTGAGGCGTAGAGGTGCGGTTGGTTCAGCTGGGCTTGGAGGGCCTCGGCAGCAGCGCGGTCAACCGGACTGTGGGACCTCGTGGCTGTAGATTGAGGACGTAAAGTGCTCTTGAGGAGATTCTGGGCGGCGCGGCGCCATAGTGGGCGAAGATGTGATGGCGGGAAGGTGAACATAGCATTATGGTGGTGGTGTAGTGTCGCGGCGTCGCGAACAGAATCGAGGCGGCGGACGGAGGTGAAGCTTTCTCGGAGGTGAAGCTTTCGCCGCACCCAAGGCACCCATTCCAATAACACCACCTACCATCTTCGAATCAGCCCGTCCGGAGAGCCTCAGTACCTGACCACCACGTCTACTCATCCAAACCCACCAATCCACAATGTCGACAACAACCACCCACGCACCCACCCTCCGCTCCCTCTACCGCCGCCTCCTCCGCGAACTCCCCACCCGCCAACCCGCCCTCGCCGCCCGCACCCGCGCCTCCCATCCCATCCTTTCAAACGCCTCGCGCTTGCAGCGCCAGCTCCGCGCCACCCTCGCGACGCCACCCTCTTCCTCTCAAACTTCTCAGGCATCCGAAAGCTCCAGTAGCCCAGAGGCGACGGCGATCCACAACCACAGACTCCACGCTACAGACCAATTCATTCAGTATGCCAAGGCGCAGCGGACTTATTTGACCTTGTTGGAGCGTTACAATCCGGGTATGGGCATGGATGAGGAGGAGAGAGTGAGATTGACCGCGCGGAGGGTAGGGATGGATCTGCCGGAGGAGTTTGGAAAGAAGTGATATGAGGAAGAGAGGTAGATGTTAGATGGTGGAATTGGGTAGGATGTAAAGAGATGAAGGACGACAGAAACGAGGGAGGGATCAAGGATGTGAAATACGGATTGTCGGATGCAATTATGGAATGACGATGGCTTCCGAGAAAGAAGAGGACGATAGATGCTTGATCGACAGGGTTGCAGAATCTTTGCCCGGCAGTGATTGTACTCGAGAGCCACGAGGGGGCGGTACGCAACACCAGCAAGGTCAGCACCTATCACCAAGCGAGGCTACATCTATTCAACAGGTGTAATCATACGCGATAAATCAATGAGATACAATGGTACGAGACCGCGCGCAGAAAGAGCAAAGTATTGTACATTCCAATTGCGTCGAGAAGCAATACATGAGCCAATATCCATCATTAGTTCCAAAACGCAACATGAAAGACATGCCCCCATCAAACGACATCCAATTCTTTCGTCCAATACGTTGACCTGGTATATCTTTCAAAACTTTCATCCAAAATCAACAACATGTACCGCGACCACAATAACCAAGAACGAATACATCGAATCAGAAGATCCTGTGCTTCTGGAATGCCTCCTCAACCGTGTCTCCTCTCCGCACTTCAATCATGACCTTCTCGTCCTGGCTGGTCAGCACGGGCAGCAGCTCCAGCACCCGACCCAGCAATCTCTTCGGAATGCAAACGGCGCCGTTCTCGGCAGGGTCCAGGAGGATAATATCACCCTAGCACAGTCAGCAAAACAAGTCCATGCCCAAAAACACCAC